CGATTGGTAGGTTGAATTCTACGTCCGTGACTAGAATCAACTTAATCAATTAGGAACTAATCTATCAAGCTTCTCATTAGTTTAATTATAAAGACAAGCGGAGTGTTTGACACGTGTCAACACTCACGACCGGTCTAAAATCTTTTAAGAAAATGTTTTTATACAAGCCAATGATACATGATTTGATAAAGAACTAGTTATACTCATCACTAGAATTTATTCGTTATTGTTTAAGGTTCTCAATTTATTTTGCATATTTAGGCTTTTTATCAATCTTCGAACCCCCCCTTTTTATATATAGTGTTTTATTGTTAATGAATTTACACGCGTTTACGTCTTGGACTTACGGTTAACACCGAGTCCCTGAGGAGACGACCCTACTTATCGCTATCACAAGTTGTGTTTTAGAGATAATAGGCTGATTTTTATAAATTCTATTATTTGCCGGACTCGACACCCGTCACATCCTCTATACCATATTGAGCCCAAATTTTAGAGACATAATATCTAACGACCGGGAAAGGAAGGCCTTTGCCCACAAAATATCCGCATAAGGTTTTAGCATTGGTAACACAACTCTTTAGCACTACAGATAAAGGAATATCTACCGGATCATTCAAATCATCACTAAGATTGGATATAAATTTAAAATTAGCATTATAATGCTTTTGAGACCCACTTAAAACATTAGCAAAAGAGTTGGGAAGAATATTAGAATTTTTACCATTCCAAACCGAAATGTTTTTCCGAAAGAGGGAGTGACATTTTGAATTTTCTTAGAAAAAGGAGAAGAAATAGAGTTTTTAAAATTATTGATACTTGGATTACCATTCAAAGCATTAACAAGCAGGGGGGGAGGCAGAAGAAAATAGGGGGGCGGGAGCCTCCACAACAGTAGGGTCCGAGGGGTTTTTATGAAAAGAAATAGAAACTAGAGGGGGAGTGGAAGGAGAGGGAGTCATACCTGGGTCCAATGGGCGAGGCCCAAGAATAGAAGGAGGGTTCTGGTTGATTTCCATCAAAAATAAAATCCAACTCCATTTGGGCTTGAGAATTTTGAGAGTCCACATCTGGGAGCTGGGCCGAAGGAAAAGGTCCAAGCAAAGAAGGAAGCTCATCACATTTAGGCCTAGACACAGGTCCAACATCTTGAGATTTTGGGCTGGCAATACCAGTTCCAGCAGAAGAAAATTCCACCTCCAAATGGGCCTGAGGTTGAAGACAGTTGACATCTGGGCTTGGGCCACAGGATCCTTGCCAAGAGTAGAAGCTGAAGGCATAACCTTGTGGGCCTGAAATAAGTGGGGTTCTGGGCCTTGAAGCTGCGAGACATAAAAAATTGGAGGATAAACAACCCGGCTACTGTTATCATCAAGATGGACATCCACATCCATGTGGGCCATACCATTACCAGGTCCATCTTTAGAATTAGAGTCCACCAAAGGGATAGGGGACACCTTATTAAATAACTTTCCGCCAGAAAAACCCACTTCCATTCCAAAATCCATTTCATGGATTAAAACATTGGATAAAGGCCCATCATCCAAAGAGGTGTTCCCAAGACTAGAAAAGCTGGATGAGGATTCAGAATGCAAACCAGATAACCGTTGGACACTTTGGTCAATGTCCATATGACTAGTATCCATATCTTAGGGAAGAAAGCCACCATCTTTGCCCAATAAAATAATATTTTGCACTCTATTATCCATAGGACAATGACTACCATCTTCCCTAGAGATATGTACCCTATTGTCACCTTTAACACTTCCCTGCACCAACAAGACCCCTTTCTTCTTCTTTCCAGTGGACAACTCATTGTCCTTTTTCTTGTTTTACTCTATTTCGACGACCATGCTTTGACTAAAGCTTCCATCCACAGCTGTAACAGGTACGGTTTCAACACCCACCCCATCGCCTTTATGAGACTTGCAATTACAAAAAGCCATAATATCTTCCCCATTCTCTGTGCACTGGATTTTACCAAAAAGAAACATAGAGGAGGCTAGCTGTTGAATTTTCAAATTTTCGACCGTTGGGGCATCAACCAGACGGCCTCGATCCAAAAAACTTCTCGACAACGACGAAGGCGACGAAGTCCGATGAGAAGCAGCAGATCAAGGAGATAGCAAGACGATGGAACCTTCATAACTAGACTGAGCTTGCATGCCTTCCAAATGACCAACTTGAATATGGGAGAATACTATTTCTTTTTCAGCAATCAAAGTAGGATGACTAAAACTGATATCTTTTTTCCCATGAAGGTTGGAAGTAATAGAGATGCTTCCACTATTCTTCATACTAATATTGTTAGAAACTGAGACAACCAACCAAGGTAAGTCCGAAGCACAATCTCCATACATCTCCTAGACAACCCAACAAACTTTTCACGATGAGTCTGGACAACAACATTTTTGCAGAGAGCTACAGCAGGGGAGAACTTGCTATCATCATGGAAAACATGACCTTCATGCATGTTTGCTGAAGCTTGGGACGGGGCAGCATTCCCACAGATAGCTTCATTGCCATATCTTTTTTCAATGAAATGACTTCTAGGAGCGGAGATAATAGAAGGTAGGGCTAACTCTCCCTTGATTTCTTCCTCAATCTTTTTTCCACTACTGTTAGCAAACCACCAAACCACATTGAAATCTATACCATTCAGATCCATGGGGGGTGGAGTATTACTGATTTTCACAAGACCTTCATCAAAAGAAGCACACGAACTAGAACTAGTAAGAAGCCGATGTTTACCAACCTTATCCAGTCTTCGGTTCTTGCAACTTTCTTCAAACCTATCCATATTTTCAGACTGAAAACTTGGAAGAGGGTTGGAAAACTTCATACGAAGGTTAGGCCTGCACAATTTTCTTGTATTTCGATGCATAGATTCCTCCATAACAAGTTTCAGATCCACCATAGAGAACAAAATCACAAAGAACACAAAAAAACCACCAAAAATCTAGAGAGAAAAAGTCTAGAAAGAGAAAGTAGAGAGAGAAAAAAATGAGCAAATGGTTGGGTTTTTTGGGGTTTAGGGTTTATGGTTTGGGGTTTAGGGTTTGGGGTTTGGGGTTTAGGGTTTAGGGGTTTGGGGTTTGGGGTTTGGGTTTAGGGGTTTGGAGTTTGGGGTTTAGAGGTTAGGGTTTAGGGGTTTGGGGTTTAGGGGTTAGGGTTTAGGAGTTTAGGGTTAGGAGTAGAGATAATAGAAGGTAGGGCTAACTCTCCCTTGATTTCTTCCTCAATCTTTTTTCCACTACTGGTAGCAAACCACCAACCCACATTGAAATCTACACCATTTAGATCCGTGGGGGGTGGAGTATTACTGATTTTCATAAGACCTTCATCAAAAGAAGCACACGAACTAGAACTAGCAAGAAGCCGATGTTTACCAACCTTATCCAGTCTTCGATTCTATCAACTTTCTTCAAACCTATCCACATTTTCAGACTGAAAACTTGGAAGAGGGTTGGAAAAATTCATACGAAGGTTAGGCTTGCACAATTTTCTTGTTTTTCGGTGCATAGATTCCTCCATAACAAGTTTCAGATCCACCGTAGAGAACAAAATCACAAAGAACACAAAAAAACCACCGAAAAGCTACAGAGAAAAAGTATAGAAAGAGAAAGTAGAGAGAGAAAAAAATGAGCAAATGGTTGGGTTTTTTGGGGTTTAGAGTTTAGGGTTTGGGGTTTGGGGTTTATGGTTTGGGGTTTAGGGTTTGGGGTTTGGGGTTTAGGGTTTAGGGGTTTGGGGTTTGGGGTTAGGGTTTAGGGGTTTGGAGTTTGGGGTTTAGGGGTTAGGGTTTAGGGGTTTGGGGTTTAGGGGTTAGGGTTTAGGAGTTTAGGGTTAGGAGTGGAGATAATAGAAGGTAGGGCTAACTCTCCCTTGATTTCTTCCTCAATCTTTTTTCCACTACTTGTACAAACCACCAACCCACATTGAAATCTACACCATTCAGATCTGTGGGGGGTGGAGTATTACTGATTTTCACAAGACCTTCATCAAAAGAAGCACATGAACTAGAACTAGCAAGAAGCCGATGTTTACCAACCTTGTCCAGTCTTTGGTTCTTGCAACTTTCTTCAAACCTATCCACATTTTCAGACTGAAAACTTGGAAGAGGGTTGGAAAACTTCATACGAAGGTTAGGCCTGCGCGATGTTCTTGTTTTTCGATGCATAGATTCCTCCATAACAAGTTTCAGATCCACCAAACAGAACAAAATCACAAAAAACACAAAAAAACCACCAAAAAACTAGAGAGAAAAATTCTAGAGAGCGAAAGTAGAGAGAGAAAAAAATGAGCAAATGGTTGGGTTTTTTGGGGTTTGGGGTTTGGGGTTTAGGGTTTAGGGTTTATGGTTTTTTTGATAGAGAGGGGGAAGACCCCTCCAGATCAATAAAAAAAAGCTAAAAGCCAAACAATGAAGTGCGCGGGAAGGAGGCAAACCTCAACTACCAGCCAAAAAAACCAAGGCATCCCGAGGGGAAAGAGAAGAAAAGAGGACAAAAAAAGGAGAGGGGAGAAAAGAAAGAAAGAGAGAGAGAGAGAGAAAAAAAGAGAGGGAGAGAGGAAGAAACCAACCACAAGGGAAGGACCCAGCCGAGCCACGGCTAGGAAACAACGGGGAAAACCACAAGGGCAGGAAAAAGGGACTAAAAAAGGCACACCCTAGACCGTACCAAGAGAAGCAACAGAGCAAAAATGCTCACGAAACCAAAACGGCAGCACACAAAGACAAAGAGCTAAGGAAGATTCCAGGCAAGCCGAGCCCGAACAACATTAGGAGAGGGCTTGAGGGTTAGGCTAAGGAGCCTGGACCGAACATCATCGGTAATCGTCTTAACCACCATAATATACGATCTTCTTTTATTTTTGAAGATGCGATTATTCCTTTCCTGCCATAGGTGGTAGACAGTTCCAGCTAGCACTAATCTGCGAATAATAGACCAAACGGTCTTTCCTTTGGTAGCATGTTGGAAAATACCAATAATATCAGCCTAGTTATCCAGGACACCAGAGAGGTTAAGCTTGGCTTTTAAACCATTCCAAACCTGATTAGAAAACGGGCACTCAAAGAAAAGATGAGAATACGAATCAGGCCCGTTATGACAGAAAGCACAAGACAGGTTGGAGTGGCCCTCCCAGAACCGAAGCTTGTCATGCATCTTGAGACGCTGCTTAAGGGCAACCCACAGAATAAACGCGTGTCTGGGAATATTTTGGGAAAACCAGACTAAGTGATGCCAGGAGACATCCGGCTCATTAGGACAGAGGGAGAGCCAAACCTCGTAAATAGAGAACGGCGTGAGCCAACCATCCCTGGTTCTCCAGAGGAGTTTATCAGGGGCATTAGAGGAAAGGACAGGAAGAGGGGAATTGCGGATTAAAGGGTTGGGACTGTCCCTCAGGAGAGGGCAGTTCCAAATACCCTGGAAGATGATATCCTTCACAGGAGCAGGGAGAGGAAAATTAGAATTAATGATATTGCGGGAGGATATATGCCAGTATAGGGGACCAACAGGGTGCCAGTTGTCATACCAGGCGGACGTGGAAGCGCCATTACCAATCTGGGAGACAATGCAGTCTCTAATGTTTTCCCTCATGCCAAGGATCTTCCTCCAGCCCCAACCTACATCACTGCGGATCGAGACATCCTAGAAATTACGCTCTTTAAGCCTATTCTAGGTGGTAATGATTCTCCAAGTATGAGAGGCCATGAGGGCACAGTTCTAGGTGGACAGACTCTTAATTCCAAGACCGCCTTGAGTTTTCGAGAGGCAGATGGTCTTCCAGGAGACCTTTGCTTTCCCTCTTTTGAGCTCGCCATGGCACCACAAGAAGCCCCGCATAAGCTGCTCAATCTCCTTAGGTATGGAAATAGGAAGCATAAAGATCGAAGCCCAGTAAATTTGCATGGAGGACAAGACCGAGAGAATGAGCTGCAGTCTACCGGCAAACGAGAGGGAATTGTTTTTCCAATCATGGAGTTTGGACTTCACTTTGTCCACAAGACCCTTAAAATCCTGATGAAAGAGGCGAGTCGTGATGAGGGGGACACCAAGGTAACAGACTGGAAGAGAGCCCTTCGGGAACCGAATGATAGACTGAATAGTACTGTTAGTGATCAGGCCAACATTGCAATAGAAAGCCTCGCTCCTGGCCGGATTGGGAAAGAGGCCAGACACACCAGAGAACTCGTCAATGGAATCCTTTATGACACGGACAGAGTCACTATCACCATGGCAGAATATGAGGAGATCATCAGCAAAACACAAATGGGTGATCTTCAGCTCCTCACAATTCCGGTGATAGGAAAAAATGCCCGTCTCACTAATTTTTCTTTTGGTCATMAGGTTGAGAACCTCCATAACCAGGGTAAGAAGATAGGGGGAAAGAGGGTCACCCTGCCTCAAGCCACGACCTCCCTTGAAATAGCCATGGAGGTTTCCATTAATACTGACCGAGTACGATGCAGTGGAAACACATGTCATAATCCAGTTAATCATGGGAAGGGGGAAGCCATAACCGAAGAGAGCGGTACAGAGAAAATGCCAATCAACAGTATCATAAGCCTTTTGGATGTCAACCTTGAAGGCACAGCGGGGAGGACCCTGATGCTTATGACAGCCACACATGAGCTCCTGGACGAGAAGGACATTGTTTGTGATGAGCCGACCCGGGATGAAAGCAGACTGGTTGACATCAACCAGAGAGGAAAGATGATCTTTGATCCGATCCGCGATAATCTTGCTAATGATTTTATACACGACATTACAGCAAGCAATGGGGCGGAAGAGAGAAAATTCATGCAAATGATTTTCCTTGGGGTTTAGGGTTTGGGGTTTGGGGTTTAGGGTTTAGGGGTTAGGGTTTAAGGGTTTAGGGGTTAGGGTTTAGGGTTTAGGGTTTAGGGTTTAGGG